GTCGAAGCCAGATCACCTCTGAAGCGGCTGCGGAAAGAGACCGGTACTCAGCTTCGGTTGAAGATTTGTCCACGGTTACCTGCTTTTTGACCGTCCAAGAAATGAGGTTGGGGCCAAGAAAGGAACAGAAACCGGAGATTGACTTCCGGTAGGTCGTATAAAATGCCCAGTCGGCGTCGGAGTAAGTTTGTAAGTCGAGGGATCCGACTGTGATCGGTAGGCCATAGGAGAGGGTGCCTTTGACGTAGCGAAGTGGGCGCTTGAGTTCCTTGAAGTTGTGTTCAGTGGGGGATTGCATGTGTTGACAGACTTGGTTGGCGGCGAATGCGATATCTGGTCTTGTAATGGTGAGATATTGTAGTGATCCTGCGAGGCGGCGGTATATGGTGGGATCCGGATGTGGGAGCAGATTCGGTTCTTTCTGTTTTGTAGCTGGCGTGACCGGAGTTGGAACTGATTTACAGTCCTTGTATTCTGCGTCATTAAGAATTTTAGTAGCATAATGCTCTTGAGACAAAAAAATAGCCGTGTTTGGATCGGGACACCTGGATTCCGAGGAAGAGCGAGATGTGGTCGAGTTATTTGAGAGCGAATTGCGTTTGGAGTTGCTTGAGGAGATGACGAATCACGGGTTCATTGTTACCTATTACCAAGAAATCGTCGACATAAATGAAGATGTATATTTGAATGTTATTTTGAGTGAAAAGGAGAAGAGAGGGATCGGAGCGACTAAACCGGAAGCTTTGTTGTTGTAGGAAGTTGGTGAGTTTTTGGAACCATTGTCGCGGTGCTTGTTTTAGACCGTAGAATGATTTTTGTAGCTTGCATACCACGTGAGGTTGATCGTGGTCGGTGAAGCCCGGTGGCTGGCACATGTAGATGTCTTTGGGTAGGTCTCCATGAAGAAAGGCGTTTGATATGTCGAGTTGATAGACCAGCCAGTTGCGGTGGAGGGAGAGCGTGAGTAGGAGACGAATTGTGGGCATCTTCGCGACTGGACTAAAGGTCTCATTGTAGTTGATGCCGAACTTTTGGTCGTAGCCGAGTGCAACCAGTCGAGCTTTGTATCGATCTACCTGTCCGTTGGGGAGGAGTTTGACTTTGTAGGTCCATTTGCAGCCTAATATGGGCTTGTCAGCGTGTGGTTGGACGAGGGTCCATGTTGATTGCTATTTGAGTGCATCCACTTCAGTTTGCATGGCTTCCCGCCAGTGGGATGTTTTGAGCGTTTGAGTGTAAGTAGTTGGTGTGTCATGCAGAGTTGTGTGGGCGAGGAGATTGAACACTTGCTTTGGTTTCTGGATTCCAGATTTCAGTCATGTTTGCATTAGGTGACCGTGCGTGGTGTTGGGTTGAGGTTGAGGAGATGGGCTTAGTCCTTCGGGATCAGGTTGAGGTAATTTGAATGAAGGGGGTTTGTGAATTTGGTGTGGTCGGGGCTGTGTTGGTTCTTGGGCTGAGTGTGGTGCGAGGTGTGGAAGGGTGAGGGATGGTCGAAGAAGGTGTTAGGAGGAGCGGAGGTATGTGAGTGTGAGATGGCTGGTGATTAGGGAGATGTGAGTTTGCTGTAGTTTTGAGTGGAAAGATGTGTTCGTAGAAAATAACGTGTCTTGAGATGTGAGTTTGGCCGGTGACAGTATTGTGACAAAGATAGCCTTTGTGCTGGGGTGAGTAGCCTATGAAGATACAGGGGTGAGATCTAGGAGCTATTTTGTCCGTGGAGTAAGGCCTTAGCCACGGGTAACATAAGCATTCGAACGTTCGCAGATGTGTGTAGGATGGCGGGGTACCTGTGAGAAGCTGAAGAGGGATTTGGTTGGAGATGGATTTGGATGGTAGTTGGTTTATGAGATAGTGAGCCGTGGATAGTGCCTAGGTCCAAAATTTGGGTGGTAGACCGGATTCTAGTAGTAGAGCACGGGTCAGATCTAGGAGATGATGGTGACGTCATTCGTCCAGGCCATTTTGTTCCAGCGTATGCGGACATGTGAGTTGCTGTATTATGCCGGAGTCTTGGAGGTAGAGCCTAAATGCGTGACTCGTGAATTCTCTGCCGCCGTCTGAACGAAGAATTTTTGGAGTTATGTTGTGTTGAGTTTTGATAAGATTGCAGAACATTTTAAACATTGTTAGTGTTTCATTTTTGGTATGAAGAAAATAAAGCCAGGAGAATCTTTTGTAGTCTTCTATAAAGACAAGGTAGTATCGATGATCGTTAAGGGACGGGTGTGGAGATGGTCCCCAGACGTCAGTGTGAATGAGCTCGAAAGGTACAGTAGAATGCGTGATTCTTTTATTAAAGACTAATTTGTGGCTCTTGGCCTGGTTACATGAATTACAAGTAAAAGAGCGGTGAACATTGTGAATTTCAGGAAACGTTATTGAAAGAAGAAGTTGGGTGTCTTTGTTTGGATGTCCGAGACATGAGTGCCAGTTGGTCGGAGAGTGGGAGGTGACCGTGAGAGCCATGTTCTTGTTTACCGGTGCTGCACTAATGTGGTAGAGGCCGTTACGAAGTTGTCCATGAAGCCGTTGACGGTGGTCCCGAGAGTCCTTGATGACAAAACCGTTAGTATCAAACGAAATAGAGACAAGATTATCTGAAGTAAGTTTTGAGACGGATATGAGATTGTGCGTAAGAGAAGGCACGTGCAGTAGATTGTTGAGTTTTAACTTACGAGCGGTGTCCGGCAAGGGAAGAAGTCCTTGATCGGTGCTGTTGATGGGAATGGAGTTACCGTTGGCAGTCGAAATCGTGTACGAGCCTTGGTAAGTAGTTTGGTAGTAGAGGTTGTTGGAATCTGGTGTTAGGTGGGAGGAAGCACCGGAGTCAAGAATCCATTCTTGACTGACTGGAGCAGCTGGATTTGCGAAGAGAGCGCGGGGTTGGCGTGTGTCAGTTGGGGCATATTTCAGATTGTTGCGGTGCCAGCAATTGAGGGCAATGTGTCCGATTTTGCCACAGATTTGACAGAGTGGTCTTGTTGAAAGTTGCGGAGCTGAGGAAGCTAACGGTAGAGCTGGGGCGGTTGTGATTGATTGTTGGTTCTTTGGTTTGTTCGATCTTCTGTTGTTGTTATTGCGGTAGCGTGAGGAATTGGACGGGGCAGCGTAGAGGGCCGAGGGATTGTTGTTACCGTTCAGTTCTTGAAGACTTTCTTATTGGAGATGGATTTCTTCATTACACAGAAGGGCATAGAAGGTGTCAATATCGATAGGTAGGAGTGAATTTCGGATGGTTGATTTGAAGGAATTATACGTCGGGGGAAGACCGTTGAGAATGTGTAGCATAACGTCTTCCGATTCAATCTTGGAACCGTATGCGGAGATGTTTTCCATGAGCTGCTTGATGCATGTGAGGTACTGTTGGACGGAGAGATCCTTCATTTGGGTGCGGTAGAGCTCGTTCTTGAGCTGGATCACCCGGGATCGACTCGTTGGTTGAAGTCGACGCTTAAGAACTGTCCATGTCTCGTGTGCGGTGGTGGACGTGATGATGTATGGTAAGATCGATTGGGATACTGTAGAGAAGAGGGTGGAGATGAGGTTGCTGTCGACGAGAAGCCATTGAGCGTGATCGGCGGACGTGGTGTCGGAGGGGGGTTGGACGGAGCCGAGTAAATGTCCGGCGAAGCCGTTCACGGTGAATTGCTGTAGCAGTTGTATCCTCCAGATTGGGTAGTTGTCCGGTGTAAGGTGATGAGGGACAAGATTCTTGATGTTAGAGACAAGAAACTTGAGATTGGGTGGTATGCCGGCGGTCATGCTAGTGGTGCCGGTTTGAGTGGAGGAGGAGGAGATGATGGGGGAAGAAGGTGAGGGATCCATGGGTTCTTGATCTTCCTAATTGGCTCTTGATACCATGAAAGCAAAGCCAGAGAAGAAGAAGAGGGACTTCGAAGAAGCCAAAAAAGCCGGAAGAGAGAAAATAGTATGTTATTGAATTAGAAATGATTACAGTACATATATATATATAATAGTCCTATGTTAAAGCTGTAAATAAATAAATGTAACGGACGTGAATACATTTCATTATATGCTATTATTCTCCACGCTCGCCCTAGCAGCTGCTCTTAACTTCCCTAGTGCTCTGGCCACTCCATAGCCTTGATGCTTTGGGATTTCTTCTCGATATGTCTTCTTTTTTCCTTTCTTTGCTTGTCTTTTGTTTATTATTATTTGATTGTTCATCCACCGGTCATTCTCTGCACGGATGGTGCCTAATCGACTTGATGATCATGGTTTCCCTGATGGGCGGGAATCTTCTCGTTCCTTTCTTGAAGCATTGTCTTGGGCTTCTTCCTCGACTGAGTTACCTAATCTAAAAACAACTTCACATCCCAGGTGTTGTCTTTGTGGATTTTGGAAGTTGAAATCGTGACTCTTATTAAATCATTCGAGTTTGCTTCAATTGGTAAATTTCCGAATCGTAAACCCTCACTTAAAGTGATTCGTAAGTTTTCTATTAACCTTAAGCTGATCATTGAATGTTCTGTGATTATTTTGGATCCAATGAATGTTTTAGTAAAGTTGCTTAATGATTTGCATTATTGTAGAGTATTTTCTCATTGTTCTTATTTTGTTCCAATTGCTACATGAAATTGTTTAAGTGGTCACCATTTTTTTATATCACTATGGAGGCTCCTATCATTCTGATTTGAGTTGTGTTCCCAAACCTTTGGACGCATCTTTCCTCCCCATGCATTCTTCATGATTTAGGCTCTTTATTTGGTCATCCTTTGAAAACTGGTAATACTACTATTGTAGGGTCACGGTCGTTTGTTGCCTGGGTCCTTGTCGAAATGGATATTTCCAAATCTTACCCTGAGTCTATCTCGATTGGTCCTAATAATCTAGGTTACATTCAAGAAGTTGTTTCGGAGGATTTTCCTCCTTTCTATGATCTTTGCAAACCCCTGGGAAATTGTAAAATAACTATAGTACTCTTCACCCCCAATTAGATAGGGCACCTGATTGTTTCTAAACATGTTGTTGTTGACCTCATTATTTGCGGTCGATTCCCCGAAATCAATCTCTAGTACCTAGGTCTTCGTAGCCTAGTGTAGACATCGCCCGCAGGATTTCTCTTAGGTGGATACCTACTGACGTAGCACGGACTCGAATTTTTAAGTAGACTTAAATCAATTCGCCTCGACTCAATCAAATTCAAATTATTGTAAATAAGATAAAAATTAGTATTTCAAAATTATTTCTATTTTAAGATTAACTCAAAATATTTATTTTAATTTATCAATTATATTCTAATTAATCTCTAAATCAATTTGATATATAAATTAACTCTTGAACTCTTCTTTAAATTGTGATTAATCTAAGCCGTTCAATTTAAAATGGAATAGATCTAAAATATGAGATTTGAGTGTCATTTAAGCCGATTAAAGCCAAAACCACCCAAACCCTCACGATTTCCTTTGGTTCATTCGCAGAACTGCTCCCTCTCCCATACGACTACTGCAGTTCGCACAGCCCATACCTCCTAATACTGTAAGAAAATCTCCCCACGATCTCTCTAACTCCCTCTCTCAATTTTGAAAAACTTCCGAGCATTAACGCCTCCCTCTTAGTCGCTCTCGACAATTAAAAAAGAACCGCCTCCTCTCGGTTCGTTCACACGATCAACTCCCTCTCCTCTCTGCAATTCCGAACCCCCGAAATCCGGATCTCCTCTCCAGTTCGTGTGAGAAGAATCCCAGCCCATCCTTCATATTTGCATTCTCTCAATTCGCACAAAGCCTCCCTGCTCGTGAGAGGCCCGCATCCCTTTTCTTCTCCTCTGTTCGCACAACCCAGGCGGAAGATCCCAAAAATCCCGAGCTCCCTTTGTTCTCTGCCCGCAAGAAGCCCCAGCCCGTCTCTCTCTCTATTCGCAAGGAGGCCCAGGAATCGGACTAAAAAGAAGCCCCGACCTCCTCCTCCCGCAGATCTGCCCTTGTCGTGCCTAGCATCTCCGACCGGTTCATGCCCAAGG